AGCTGCTGGAGACCCATCCTCACATCCACCTGCCATTTTTCTACCTCAGAAGGCCCACTGTTTCCTCTCTGACAAAATTTAACACCCATCTGTACTCTCCATCCTGCAACTTCATGCTCTCTTCCTCTGGGCAGCTAGGCTCACTTCTTTTGGGGTGGGTCCAGCTTGCTTCATTTTTTTCCCAGATGCCTCAGACTGCAACCAGCCCCAAGGACCTGGACTCACCATCCCACTGAGGAAATTGGCCAAGAGACAAGCTCTCCCCAAGGCAGTGTGAACACTGAGCCTCAGTATCGTTCCCTGTGCAGGGTGGTGGGAGAGTCATGCTAACCATCTCACATGATTCCAGTGAGGTTCTGGTATGATCCAGGTGAAGTTCTCTTGTCAGGGCTCCCAGCAACTTCTCCCTGAATCCTGTCTGGTCTTATTAGCATGTCTGAGGAAGACTTTTCTCTGGTTCATCTTACTCCCTCTGACTCTTACTACAGATCCTTTGAAGGGTGACCTTGGCAAAGCAAATGTTAGTGTTCCTTCTGGTAAAGTCCTCTCCCAGGGGAGGGTCCAGCCCTCAGGCAGTGATAGTTCCCTCTGGGAAGGTCCAAAACTGGTTTCAACCCCAGGTTGCTCCAAAAAGAAGGAAGGGAGTTATGTTGGGTTAGGTTTGCCTGAGGAAGAGCCTAGAGAGAGGAAGGGAAGAGGATCTGGGAAGGACAGTGCAATTTGAATGTTATACTGCTCTAGTACTTCTCCTGGTCAGAAAGCCATCATTTCTGGATAAAGGAGATCTTATGGCCCCCAGCCCCAGCAGGAAGGAAATCAGCAAGGGCTGGTTTGTTTCAGTTTCTATTCCTGGAAATGACTCCAGTTCTCAAAAAAGAGATGTACTGGGCACACTTATATTGCAGAAGGCAGGGACAATTCTGGGTCTCCATGAACCCCACACTGGGAGTCACTTTGGGGTCTGCATGGACCCCAGCAGACTGGGGGTGTGGACTTGCCCTGATGTCTCCCAGCTGAGCCATATCATCTGATATCAGCCCCCAGATCACTGAGAAGTCCACATTAAGCCCTGATGAGGGTAGCTCCTCAGATGGGTGAACACACTGCCAATAAATTTTTGCCTGTGGCTTTCCGACATGCCCACCTCAGAGGCTCACTGGTTTCCATCTGCTTAGATCAGAGTGCAGATACTACATCCACCGTGGTGTATCCCTCCTGACCCCAGTGTGACCCCACATGGTGTCAATGTACCAACTTCAACCAGTTTCAGGCCTGAGTCCCAGCACTGTTCATTACTGACTGGGTGACTCTGGGCAGCTTCTCAACCTCTCAGTGACTGTCACATACTCATTCTCATGTGGAAGCAGAAGGGAAAGCTGCTCCAGGTGTTTGTGGACAGGAGAGAACCCTAGAGAGGGTCTTGTGACTATAACAGGGTGACAGAAAAGGTCTGCTTACAAAATGTCTGCCAAGATTGCAAATGTCCATAACAAGGTATACAGCTGTTATGCAGCCAAGAGATTGTGAACATGACATCATAACCCTTGATCTCTCCCCTGCGTGAGAATAGCACAACTAAAGAATTGAGGAGAAGAGAGGGCAAGCCTATTGCAATGGATGTGTTTTCCCTTTAGGGCAACCATGAGGGCTGGACACGGTCTGCCTAGCTCAGAGGATCTCTGTAGAAAGAGGTTGGACTGTTCTTCTTTGTCTGTCACAAAGCAGGTATGAGGCCTGCAGGTCCTGACTGTGCCTCTCCCTAATATCCCAAAGGAGAAGTCAGTATGAGTGAGCCCCAGATGGCCCCTCTTACCTGAGGGACAATCACTACTCACTGCTGTGAACTAGATCGCAACTGTCCTACATATGTATAAATTTCTTAGCCCCCTAGTTCCCCTCAGCTACCTGCTCTGTGTAATGCAGGTGGTGGGAGGAGGAAAGAGGAGAGAAACTGACTTTTTTCCTGTTCCTGCCACAGGTGTCTCAGTTGGAGGAGAGCCTGAGCCAGGGCAGAGTTCATTTCTGTAAGAGTCTGGAGACCGTTTATCAGACTAACCAGAGCTCTGCTCACCTGAGTGGATCCAGGAGACAGGGTATTTCCTGAGCCATTCCATCCAACACTGACCAGGAATTATCTGTTTTGTGTGTGTACCTTTCAGAGACCATACTGATCTCCATGACTTATCCTTCCAGTATGTGTCATGCCCTAAGGAGATTAAGTCTAGAGGCTTCATCTTGTCATCACAGATAGATGTCCAATGGCAACCCCAAAGCTTAATAAAATGTGTGGGGTAAGGAAAGGACCAAACCCATTTATTCCACCTCAGCAACTGCCTATAGTTAACAATCTTGCAACAGGTTTTCTAGACAAATACTGTCTGCAAACTGTTGGTCTACACTCTAGCCTGACAGCTCTAGAAAAATCATTTTAAGGCCACCCCCCTTCCTTTCACTCCTGTCTCTGCTTTGCTTACTCAGATACCCAGCCCTAGGGTCATATGGAGGCCTTGCAGTCAGCTTCTTGTGTTGAAAGGATGATCATGCAATCAGAAGGTATGAGATGACAGGAGATGGCATACTTAAAAAAGACTGATTTTGGTTGGCTGCCTAGATCTTATGAATTCATCTGGACCCAGTTCCAAACCATTTCAGATGTCCTGTCTAAGAGAGATTAGCTTGGAAAGAAAGAACCAAACTTAGAAAAGATCAACAAATTGTGCCCCCAAATGAAGTCTGCAGTTTTTGTATGAGTCTCATGGGCTCCATATTCTACCATGGATTCCTGGTCCCTGTGGGAAGAGGAACTGGGCAGAGGTCTGCAAGCCACTGATGAAGCTGGGTAAAGGTTTGGCATGAAGAAGCAGCAGCTGTGCTCGTGTCCAGGGAAAGATTCTACTTGGTAAAGGTACTAGAGTGACCATCCCAGGTCTATTCCCACCCACTTGTCTTGAGGAAGGGTCGTGTGATCACAGGGGACTCAGACCAGAGGATCTGCCTGTGGACTATGAGGTGTGCACTCAGGATATCAGGCCTCAGCCCACTTAGCACTGTAGCCACTCTTGACCAGAGGAGAAAGCTGTTCGTTTGGACTCAGCTACAAAGCTCTGTGCAAATGGCCAACAGAGCAATCTGCCAAGCGCACATATGCTATTCCTGTCCTTGGTCATTTACAGTAGTTGCACAATATTCATGCTCATGGATGCAAGTTTGTGCATGTCAGTCTCCGAATACGTGATCAGTTTGCGGCTGGGCAACAGGTAGATTCAGTATTCAACTTGTTCTTCATAATCTTCCTAAATCTCAGTCTCCGTGGCCCCTCTCAGACTCTACTCTAGTTTATTATTCTCATCCCCTTCATTGCCCCCAACAGCCTTGCACACTGCAGCTGTGGTGTTACTACTTCACGATATCACTGACACTTAAATTCCAATCTAAACCTATAAAGGATTAAACAAACAAAAAAGAGGCCTGAAGCACTTTTTAAAAACTCATTAATTTATTGTTTTTATTATGTTATGTTAGTCATCATACAGTACATCATTAGTTTTTGATGTACTTTTCCATGATTCATTGTTTACATATATACCCAGTGCTCCATGCAATACGTGCCCTCCTTAATACCCACCTCAGGGCCAACCCATCCCCCCACTCCCATTCCCCCCTAAAACCCCCAGTTTGACAAACCATGAGAGACTGTGGACTCTGAGAAACAAACTGAAGCACTTTTAATGAGTGCCCATTTAACTGTGTGTTATCCAAATAGGTGTTATTCTCAGGATCTAACCATCTATCTGTCTTCAAAAGGCAGAATTCTGCTCTGGGTATAAGAAGCAATTGATTTCACTTTCCTGACATAGAGAGAATGTTACAATATCCTCATAAATCAGGACGTATCCTGATTTCCTAACAGTGACTTAGGAGCAGCTAGTCTGAGTCTGGACCTTGAGCTGTGCATTCTGGGACATCAGCCCCCAGCCCCTTGGGTGCAGAGGACACTGCAGACCTCAGCCAACGCAACAGAGAGCACCATGTCCAGAGTGATTCTCACACACTGCTGGGGAGCAGATGAGCCCTGGGGAGCCCCTGATGGGAGCTTTCTCTCACCCTCTGCAAAGAGCCCCATCACTGCCAGGATACCTGGGCCTCAGAGGATTTTCCTACCTTACTACCGACAGCTGTAATTGGTTGTCTCTGTGTGCTCCTCTGCATCCAGCCAGTTGTCAAGGTCATGTGTGAGCCTGCATCTTTGCCTTGCCATTGCTTCCACCTGGAATTTCCATCTCTCTTGCCAAATGCTTCCTTCCTGAATGATTTCTCAGTCTTTGTGCCATCACAGCAGTGATTGTATGTCAGAAGGAGAACATTTCTCTGATATCCCCAAAATATGGCAGGAGGGAGAGATTCAGGACCGAGTACACACAGAATAGACACAGCAACAATCTGAAAAGAACTAAGATATTTGTCTATTTTATATCTTTTACTTACTCATGTAAGTATGATCACTTACACACTGAACAATCATCCCAAGAAATAGAACATCTCTAAACAGTTGTATCTCCCTCTGTGTTCCTATTCACTCTAGTTCTGTTCATAGCCCGAGGGTGTATTTCATGCAGTATGTGTGTATGATTCCTTTACTTTATTTATGGATATATTATATCCATATGCATTCCTAAACAATATATTTCTTAGTTTTCTTGAAGCTTTATTTAAAGGTGTTCTATGGGTTCTCAATATTTAATCTCAACACTATACTAAAAGATTAATTCCACTCTCTATAACTATGGTTCATGCTTTTCAACATTGTGTAAGTCAACTTATTTACCCCTTCTCTGTCAATGCCTATCCTCTCTTTTTTCATAGTTATGAAGACTGCTGCTAGGAGCACACGTCCATATATTTTCTGCATATATTTGCAGAGTGAATCTTAGGTATAGGGTTAAGAGTGGAAATGCTGACTCCTGAGGTACATGAATGTACAATTTTATTAGAGTCAGCCATATTTTTTCTTCAAAGTGATTGTATTGATTTACATTCCCTGCAGCTATATTTCAGAGATTCTATCTACATTGTCACCAATATCCAATTTTGTACAAATTTTTAAATTTTCCAATAGAATGTCATCAAATACTGCACAATTTTACATTTGCCTCATTCATGCTTAATCTGTGGCACTTTCCCTTTTTTTTCCCCAAACATGTTTATTATTTTTTTCACATGTTTATTTCTTGAGAAAGTTCTGTGCATGTCTTTTGCTCACTTCCAATAATGGATTGTTAGACCTTATTTTTTTAGCGATTTCTGGAATTTTTAAGACACGTCCTTTCAATTGATCCTTAGTTCACTACATTTTTGCTAATATGATCTTCAGATTCATGGAGATTTTGAAACTTTGTTTTGCATTTACTTTCATGAAGAGAAGCTTTTCATTTTAATAGAGTCAAAGGTATCACGTTGGTTAGTCTGTTTTATACAGCTGTCTTCTTGGTATCTTTATTCTGGTATCATCTCCTTTAAGAAATTTATCCCTATGAACAGCTATGGTTTCCATTTGAAATTAAGGTCTTAAATCCATGTGGAGTTGATTATCATAAATGATGTAAGCAGAGATTCAGTAAACCTCTGTCCATATGGAGAACAGTTTTGTCAGCTCTATTTACTAGATGGTGCCTTCTATACCCACTGACACCCCATGTACATCTCCCAAGCAACAGAATTCCACACATGCCTGAATCTTATACAAGACTGTATGTCTCTTTCTGTGGGCCAGTTGGTCTACCCCTGTGCCAGCATCCAACTGTCTTAGATACTATAGCATGGAAATAAGCCTCACATGATACAGCAACATAGGGGGCTTCTTCTTCCAAAGAAACTTTGGTATTTTCCTCTTGATCTTCTATTTAAGTCTTAGAAATCTGGCTCTTCCTCCCTCTTTGTGTCTCACCATCTGATTGTCTTGTCAATTTCCTCAGAGTCCCTCCTGGTAGTTTAAGTTGCTCATGAGATATGACCCCATGACATGCCAGGACATCCATGGCCAAGTGTGACAACATGACAGCCAGCAACAGGGCTCCTGAAAGTGAAAGAAACAGAAAGACACAGAAAAGTTATAGGCCCTCTGCTTTCTGATGGGAAGTGCTTCTCTCATCCACTTGAAGCTTTGGAAACTTGCTCACAGTCATCTCTATCCCCAGGGCTGTCAAACAAGGCTTGGCTATATGACCTCACAGGCATTATCAGAGAAGAGCATTGCATGGCCCCCAGTGTCTCTCTGCCCTCCTCTCACTCCCTTAGCCTCCTGAGGTCAAAAGAGCCTTTTGTTTTTGTTTTTGTTTTCCTGGAACTGCTCAGTCTGTGGTGAAATGATGGTTTTACTTTCATGTCCTATAAATATGGGCCCTCGACTAAAGTCTTTGAGGTTGTTGTCCTTCCTGCTGTCTTTCACACTTCACAGGAAGGACAGGGGCTCTCTACCTCTTGCTCTGTGCAATAATCTCAGGAACACCCAGTGCCTGCATTTCCCCGGGTGGATAGTTCTGTGACATGTTCCTATGCCAGGAGTTCCAGGAATACTTTACTTTACTCAGCATTTTCTGTTGTGTCAGTAGAAGCATTCATGATCTCTGACATCAGAAACCTTTTTCTCTCCAGAGCTGGTGAGTGAGCAAATTGTGCACTTGCAATGATGGGATAGTACTGGCTTTTGTGTTTGGAGGGTTGAGGTGTAGCTCTGCCTGGTAGAGAACTAAGATTTTATCAGCTTCTCATGCCATCCTCTTTGGAGAAGAGAGGACCATAGTCTGGAAATGCTTCTTTTTCTTCTTTTTTTTTAAATGAGAAAGTTGTAGGAAAATTTGGAGTAAGTGGAATGTTTACTGAGTATCTCTAGTTGGAAACTATGCTATGTTGTCATGCTATCCATCCTTCCAGACAGTAGAGCCATTTCAAAACTCTGTGAGTTTTGCTCATTTGCAACAAGGCAAAATAAATCTTTGGTTGTGCATATTTTTCATCTATTCAGGCTATAAAAAATATAACAGATCACTGGGTTAGGAACACAAATTTATTACTCATAGTTCTGGATAATAAGAAGGTCCAGATCAAGTCACCTGTCGACTCAGTATTTGGTGAGAACTCACATCTGAGGTGTACCTTTCTTCCTGTCACCTTATGTGGCAGAAGGGGCAAGCTAGTTCTCCAAGTTTTCTTAAAGGGCACAAATCCATTCATGATGGCTCTGCCCTCTTGCCTAAGGCACCATCCAAATGTCCACGTACTAATACCACAACACTGAGCTGGTACTTGATCTGTGAATTTTGTGGATTAAACAAACTTCAGTCCATAGCAGTTGTATAGATAAAATCTCTCTGTGGAGGTTTAATTGACTTACCACCCTCATCTTAGAATCCAGCATTTTCCCCCTACTTTAATATTCATTTCATTATTCTTGAAGTATAAATGTCTCTTTTTTGGGATTCTTCATTCAACTAGTAATATCATCTGATTGGTTCCTTTGTTAGTAATTGATTAAATGAAATCCTTAACACATACTCATCTTATATTTATTTGAAAGTCATGATTTTCTTGCTTTTGAAATCTGTCCTTGCAGGAAATGCAGGATGGGGATGGGCATGGAGCATGCTCCTACTGGTAAAAGCACATGGGTTGTTCCTGAGATGAACTTATGGGTGTAAGTATTTTTAAAATCACAGTGTCCTCACTCATAGTGGTTGCTAAGAGGCCCCATCAGTAAGGTAGTAATAACTTCCTTGAATTGTCATGATGGTACCAATGTTTCAAACTGTATAGAATTGACTCAGTAAAATTAGAGCTTTTATTTACTTCCTCTGCCACTTCCTGCTACATGTTCTAAATCCCACCAAAATTCTCCCATTAGCTGAGGTAAATGGACATTAACCTGCCATGGGGTAATTATTACTACAAGGATTATGTACTTGGCTATCCCCCTTATGGAACACATATCCTGGTGGCCCTTTCTCTGCCTCTAGGTTATCCCACAAGACAAGTCCTACTCCTATTTGCTGCAGGTGGTCAGAAGTGACTATGTCTACAGTTCTTCTGTGCTCCCCAGTGTGCTGGCCTTACTGACTTTTCCTACAGAATGGAAAGGCTTTGGAGTCTATATAGAGGTTTCAAGAAGATAAAGATTAGTTTCTCATTGCTGTGTAAGAAATTGACACAAACTTAGTGGGTTAATATACCAACATATATTTATTTGCTTCTAGGTCTGGGGGGGATATACAAAATGAATCATAAAGGAGCTAAAATCAGGGTGTCAGTGGGATTAGCTCCTTTATGAAGCTCCAGCAGACAATCCATTTCTTTGTCTTCTCCTCCATTTAGAAGGTGCCTGAATTCCCTTGTGTATGGTCCTTTTTACATCTTTCATCTTTCTGGATTTTCACTCCAAACTGTTTCCAACATCTCATCTCCTTTTCTGCATTCAGCCTTGCCTCCTTCATATAAGTTCCCCTGTGACTATCTTATCACATTAATCAGTAAGGTAGAAGGATCTTCTCTTCAGAAAACCTTTCTAGAATTCAAGCAACCCATCAAGAGACCAGTCTACAGATGTGGCTGGTAGAACTCAAGAATCACTTCTGAAAGGAAGAACCGTCTTCTTCTGCATATGGCTGTGTTTGGGGAATCTGGACCAGGAAGTATAGTCATCAATGCCTTGTGAGGTTGTATTCATGAAGAGGAGAGTTATGCTACTGCTGGAGTTCTGGAAACCACCATGAAGAAACCACCCTATTGATATCTGAAAGCTCTCAATGTGACCTTCAGAGACCTGCCTGGGACTGGAACTCCCAATTTCCTTCCACATACATATTTGGAAATGGTGGGATTTGCTGACTATTACTCCTTTATTATCATTTCCTCCTTATGTTTTAATTTAATTTCTTTTTAAAAAGATTTTATTTATTTATTTGACAGACGGAGATCACAAGTAGGCAGAGAAGCAGGCAGAGAGAGAGTAGGAAGCAGGCTCCCTGCTGAGCAGATAGCCCGATGCGGGGCGCGATCCCAGGACCCTGGGATCCCAGGACCCTGGGATCATGACCTGAGCCGAAGGCAGAGGCTTTAACCCACTGAGCCCCCCAGGTGCCCTGTTATTTATTTTTTTAAAATTTTTATAAACATATAATGTATTTTTATCCCCAGGGGTACAGGTCTGTGAATCGCCAGGTTTACACACTTCACAGCACTCACCATAGCACATACCCTCCCCAACGTCCATAACCCCACCCCGCTCTCCCAACCTCCCTTCCCCCCAGCAGCCCTCTGTTTGTTTTCTGAGATTAAGAGTCACTTATGGTTTGTCTCCCTCCCAGTCCCTTCATGTTTCATTTATTCTTCTCCTACCCCTTAACTCCCCCATGTTGCATCTCCACATCCTCATACAGGGAGATCATATGATAGTTGTTTTTCTCCGATTGACTTATTTCGCTAAGCATGATACCCTCTAGTTCCATCCATGTCATCCCAAATGGCAAGATTTCATTTCTTTTGATGGCTGCATAGTATTCCATTGTGTATATATACCACATCTTCTTACCCATTCATCTGTTGATGGACATCTAGGTTCTTTCCATAGTTTGGCTATTGTAGACATTGCTGCTATAAACATTCGGGTGCACGTGCCCCTTCGGATTACTATGTTTGTATCTTTAGGGTAAATACCCAGTAGTGCAATTGCTGGGTCATAGAGTAGCTCTATTTTCAACATTTTGAGGAACCTCCATGCTGTTTTCCAGAGTGGTTGCACCAGCTTGCATTCCCACCAACAGTGTAGGAGGGTTCCCCTTTCTCCGCATCCTCGCCAGCATCTGTCATTTCCTGACTTGTTAATTTTAGTCATTCTGACTGGTGTGAGGTGATATCTCATTGTGGTTTTGATTTGTATTTCCCTGATGCCGAGTGATGTGGAGCACTTTTTCACGTGTCTGTTGGCCGTCTGGATGTCTTCTTTGCAGAAATGTCTGTTCATGTCTTCTGCCCATTTCTGGATTGGATTATTTGTTCTTTGGGTGTTGAGTTTGCTAAGTTCTTTATAGATTTTGGACACTAGCCCTTATCTGATATGTCTTTGCAAATATCTTCTCCCATTCTCTCAGTTGTCTTTTGGTTTTGTTAACTGCTTACATTGCTGTGTAAAAGCTTTTGATCTTGATGAAGTCTCAATAGTTCATTTTTGCCCTTGCTTCCCTTGCCTTTGGCGATGTTCCTAGGAAGACTTTGCTGAGGCTGAGGTCGAAAAGGTTGCTGCCTGTGTTCTCCTCAAGGATTTTGATGGATTCCTTTCTCACATTGAGGTCCTTCATCCATTTTGAGTCTATTTTCATGTGTGGTATAAGGAAATGGTCCAATTTCATTTTTCTGATGTGGCTGTCCAATTTTCCCAACACCATTTATTGAAGAGGCTGTCTTTTTTCCATTGGACATTCTTTCTTGCTTTGTCGAAGACTAGTTGACCATAGAGTTGAGGGTCTATTTCTGGGCTCTCTATTCCGTTCCATTGATCTATGTGTCTGTTTTTGTGCCAGTACCATGCTGTCTTGATAATGACAGCTTTATAATAGAGCTTGAAATCTGGAATTGTGATGTCACCAACCTTGGCTTTCTTTTTCAATATTCCTTTGGCTATTCGAGGTCTTTTCTGGTTCCATATAAATTTTAGAATTATTTGTTCCATTTTTTTTTGAAAGAAATGGATGGTATTTTGATAGGAATTGCATTAAATGTGTAGATTGCTTTAGGTAGCATAGACATTTTCACAATATTTGTTCTTCCAATCCAGGAGCATGGAACATTTTTCCATTTCTTTGTGTCTTCCTCAATTTCTTTCATGAGTATTTTATAGTTTTCTGAGAATCTATACTCAGAATTTGGTTAGGATTATTCCTAGGTGTCTTATAGTTTTGGGTGCAATTATAAATGGGATTGACTCCTTAATTTCTCTTTCTTCTGTCTTGTTGTTGGTGTAAAGAAATGCAACTGATTTCTGTGCATTGATTTTATATCCTGACACTTTACTGAATTCCTGTACAA